ACACACACACACACACACACACACACACACACGAACGAGGGGGAACCCCCCAAACAAACAACAACAACAAAAAAACGGATTTTTTATTTTACCAAAGCTATGTATTTAATTTGTCCACAAAACCACCTCATCACCTTCAAAGTCCTCAATTCATCTGTCAATTCTGTGCTTCCATTAATGGTGACATGTTTGGGTGGCTGGCAGCACCTCCCTCCTTTTTTTCTTCACCCCTTCTACATCGACAAATCCCTGTCCTTTCATGCCCCTCTTCATTCAAGGAAACAAAAAGAAGTCACACTGAGCAGGCCAAGTGAGTCAGGTGTGTGGGGCAAGAGAGGCATTCTGTTTTTTGCCTAAAACTGGCACACTGAGAGCAGGTGCATTGTAGTGGCTCCCGTTTGCCACAAATCAGGCCTTTTTTGGTCCCATACTGCTATGCAATCTTTTAGAAATTACACAATCTAAATAGAAAACTTGACATTTAGAAAGTTGATCAGTTGAGATTTTCATCCCTTCAGGAAGTTGACAGACATCCAGAACAAGGTTTGTTATCAATCAACATTTCACCTTTTTTGAAATGAGAAAACCACTCATGCACTTAAGTACCTAGACTAATACATGTGCCCATTGCACAGTTGTTCCCAAAGGGCTTGTAACCTGTGTTCAACTTCACAACAGTTTCTGTGGCATTTTGCGAAACTGCTTTTATGAAAACATTCACTGTGACCAGAGAGAACCTTCCCAGGTGATGCCACTGGGTGCACTAACTCAGGGAGTTGCTGGAAGCTCACCTAGTGGGAGAAAAAGTGTACGGCAAAAGCCCCGCCAAGCGGAACTTTTTTCTGTTTTTTTTGGGGGGGTACCCCCTCATATATCTAAATTCCATTCATGCAATAGAATGTTGCACAGACACTGAAAAGTTCAATATGCACTAATCTGGGACAACTTCCATTATCCTCGAATAGTACATCAGAGGAATAAAGGAAACAGCAGAAAGACCACTGAGTGCATTGATCAGTGCTACCATTTTGTGTAAAACAAACTGTGTCCGGAGACAAGACGTTGCTAACTGTGTGGTACAAGGGAAAGGAGAAGGGGGCCCTGGTCACGTGGGCATGGGGGACCATAAACACAATTGATTTTCCAGTCAAAAGATGTGATCATGACATCAAACCAGCACACCTTGAGCAAAAGCTCAGTTATCTCCAGGAAGGACTTCCTCT